TCCGGCTCTGAGCCAGTGAGGTCCCAGCTCCCAGGACCAGGAGGACCTTGTGCGGCGGCTGGCCCTCCACTCCAGGACCTGTACGCTTGTGTTCATATGACACTTGCAGGGGTTGATAAGAGATTGCCTGGATGGTGACCTAATGGCAAAGATGGATTTAGTGACTGCTGTGGGCGAGGGCTCAGTTACTTCCACCCCATTCAACAAGGAACTGGAGGCTCAGAGACGGAAAGTAACTTGTCCAAGGACACACAGCTGAAGAATAGAATCACCGAGGCTTGAACCCAAGTCCCCAGCCACTTATAAATGAATACAGAGCTGTGGAGAAATCAAAGCAGTAACACTTAAGAGCGACTGTGCGACCCACTGATCTAGGGGCCTTCGGTGGGTTCTACCTCAGCCTTGCAGAGATGGTCATCCTGCCAAGGTAGGAAACCAGGCACAGAGGACTTAACTAACATTAGGAAGTTCCCCAGGCAGGAGGGTGGCTCTGACTCTAAGGGCTTTGGTGGAAGAACCCAACCTTGTTGGTGAAATTAGGGACACTTGGGTTGCCTGGACACACGTGTGCTGATGGCGTTAGTGTAGGCACACGGAGGCTGGGACCTGGGCTCCCCACTCCCACCACAGCAGACCCCCCAGGGGTGAATGCCCCTCCTCCCACCACAGCAGCAGAACCCCCCCCCCAGGGGTGAATGTCCCTCTCTGGGACTAGGGCTCGGAGGCCTTGCCTCTGATGCACAGGGACTCAGCTTTGGAGCAACAAACTGTGGGCGCACAATAACCAGGTCAATAGTCACCCCTGTCAAAGGCCTTCTCTATGCGGAGTCTGCCCAGAGCTCTCTGGGGCTGGAAATGGGAAAAGGCTTCCCCTGCCAGCCACTGAGCAAAGAGAATCTCCTAGCTCTTAAAGGGACAGACCCCCGGGCCTGGGTCTGAAAAAGCCTGGGTTAAAACCGGTCTCGCTGAACATAGCGGACAATGAGGACTACTGAGACCTCAAGAACAATGGCAATGGGTTTTTGATCCTACTGTACCTATTGGTTTCGTGGGAGCCTAGGCAGTTTGGATGCTCACCTTACTAGACCTGGATGGAGGAGGGTGGTCCTTGGACTTCCCACAGGGCAGAGAACCCTGATTGCTCTTCGGGCTGATGAGGGAGGGGGACTTGATTGGGGGAGGGGGAGGGAAAGGGGAGGCGGTGGTGGGGAAGAGACAGAAATCTTTAATAAATAAAAAAAAAAAGGGACAGACCCCCAACACCTGTTCCAGAGATGGGAGCAGGTGCCAGGAGGATTCAGCCTAAGGCCTGTGCCTATACTGCCCAACCTCAAGACCACTGTGTCCCTAGCCTGGACAAGCAATGTCACAGGTTCCACTCTGGGGCTACCATCAACCTGTCCCGGAGTTTCACCTCCTCAGCACTACTGACCTGGATGATGCTGTTCCTAGGGGCCGTTGTGGGGTAATGGTCTTGGCTTCTGCCACTCTGATACCAGTCACACCCCTCTCATGGGCCATAGCAACCAGATACTTCCGAAAAATTGCTAAGTGTCCCCTAGGGAAAGACCCCCTAGGAAGTAGCCTTGCTGTACAAACAAGGACACTGCCCGTGCCCCAGGCCAAGGGTGGCAGAGCTGGGCACAGCTGCTCTTGGGGAGTGGTGACATATTTATCTTGGCTGTTTAATACCTCTGTCATTAGGCAGGCAAAACGGGAAGGTTTGCATGCTATTTTGTAGAATGTGGCTGGAATTAAGATGGTCCGTGTGAGTTTTTCACAGAGGAGTGTAGGTAACGGGAACTCGCAGAGTTTGGCGTCAGGCTGAGAGAAACAGGCTTTGCTTGGGAGTCCTGATGTGCCGACAGCTGCAGAAAAGCCAAGACACGGGAAGAGGGTGACACCCCGTCTGTGGCCCGTTGCTCAGGTTCACAGCGCAGCAAAGGGGGGGCAGGGTGAGCTCCCACTCCTCCCTTGGCCAGTGTGTGCCAATCCTCTGCCAGTCGCAGGCACTCAGCTCGTCGTGTGTTGATGCCACGCCCTGAGCTGCAGCAGGGTATGCAGAGAAGACTGAGGGTCATTCCTCTTCCCCAGCACTCACAGGTTATCGGCAGCAGTGGGCACATCTGCACATGCACGCGTGCACACAGGCACACACGTGCACACACAGTCAGACACACATTCACATGCATAAACATACACTTACACATACACACACACGCCCACACACGACTGGAACGAGATGTCAGTATCCCCAAGGTACAGCAGTATGGTGCAGAGATCTCAAGATGGAGTGGCCCTTGTATCTAGGGAAAGCAGGGATGATGTCAGAGAAGGGAAGGGGGCCACACAGGCCTGCTTTCCATTTGCTGTTTTGCTTCAGGAGAGTGAGAGGTTGGTTGGTTTTATTTTATGTATTGATGTGTGTGTGTGCGTGTGAGAGAGAGGGGGGGGAGAGAGAGAGAGGAGAGAGAGAGAGAGAGAGAGAGAGAGAGAGAGAGAGAGAGAGGGAGAGCAGGGTCTCATATAACCCAGGTTGACCTCAAATTCACTACGTGGCCAAGGAATGACCTTGAACTCCTGCCCCTCCTGCCCCAGCTCCAGGATGCTGGGATTCCGGGTGTTCACAATCACGCTAGACCAACACTCTGACAATGAAGTCCCCACCCTGACCTCCTCTCTGATCTTTTCTGGCCTCTCAACTACAGCTTCGTGGAGGCACCTGACCATTTAGTTCTACCCCTCCCCCAAGCCATTCTCTTCCTGGATCCCTGAGCACAGATTCCCCAGGGTGAGCTGACTGGGCCTGAATTTTCTGTTTACCACAAATCCAGTCAGCAACAGGAAAGAATATAAACCTGTGAGCCACCCCATCCTCAGGCAGAGGGACAGGTGGCCAATGAGAAGATGCAGGCATTGTGACAGACAGGCTAAGGGTTTCAGTTTTGCACTGAGAAGTCTGGGAAATGTATTAAGTGGAAATTAATGTCTCTAGATTTATATTTTTATAGAAAGACTCCCGAAGTCATTCATTATATCTACTCGCAGATGGATTCATTATTCATCAAGCCTCTTCTCTTGGGCAATCCCTCTTCTACTGTGTGTGTGTGTGTGTGTGTGTGTGTGTGTGTGTGTGTGTAAGAGAGAGAGAGAGCTCATGTGCCACAGTGTGTGTGTGGAGGTCAGAGGACAGCTTCATGGAATCTGTTCTCTTTCCACCCTCATGTGGGTGCCAGGAATCAAACTCAGGTCCCCAGACTTGTGGAGCCTTTGCCCACTTCCCTGTCAACAGCCCTTGAGCTCTCTTCCCGACCCGGGGACTGTATGGTAAAGCAAAGGACTGAAGCCCCAAAGTTCATACTCCCCTCCAATCCTTAGACACATCTAGGACATCTGTGCCCGTAGGAAAGTGAGCTGCAAGATCTTGGGTTTTCTGTTGTTATAAAATGATCCGTAGCATTCTTCTGACATTTATATTTCTTATTTTTAGTATGTGTAGGTGTATCTGAGTCTGTGGGTATATTACATGAGGGCATTGCTATCAGGTGTGTGTGTGTGCGTGTATATCTGCATGAGGGCATTGCTATCAGGTGTGTATTTGTGTATGTGGTGGGTATATCATCTGCATGAGGGCATTGCTATCAGGTGTGTGTGTGTGTATGTGGTGGGTATATCATCTGCATGAGGGCATTGCTATCATCAGAGGCCATGGGCATCAGATCCCCTGGAACTAGAGTTACAGATGGTTAGGATAATGAGACTCAAACTCAGATCCTCTGGAAAAACAAGTACGCTAAACCACTGAGCTGTCCCGTCACCTACCCACCCCTGGTCATGTGACTTTCAACATGCTCTCGTGCTGAGTAATCAGAGGGACCTGGGTCCAAATTCTGGCTCTGCCATATTCTATATTTTGTAATTTTATTCATTTATTTTATGTGTTTGGGTGTTTTGCCTACATGTATGTCTGTGCACATGCACATGTGTGCAATACTCACAGAGCCCAGAAGAGGGCACTGGTTCCCCCTAAAAAGAAGTTACAGACAGTTACAAACACTGGGACTGGAACCCCATCCTCTAGAAGAGCAGCCAGTGCTCTTAACCACTGAGCCATCTCCCCAGCCCCTCATGTGTCAAGTCTCAGTTCAGCAGAGCTGGATGGGGTCTCATAAAGCCCAGGCTGGCCCTGAATTCCTGACCCTCACAAGTGCTGGGCTTACAAGAGCGTGTTTCCACGTCTGGGTTCAGTGGAGTGAATAACACTTGATAGGGCTGACATTCGTGCAGTGAGATAGGACTGTGCTTGCTGGTATTACCCATCATCCCAGGGCTCGAGAGGCAGAGACGGGAATCCTGGAAGGGAGAGGCCCCAGTAACATGGTAACAAGTGGGACCCTGTCAGCAAAAACAACAACAATGAGGTAAACCATAGAAAGTGCTTGGCTCCGTATTCAACCTGGGCACCAGCACCGCACCCCAGAACTATGCCCACAGTCACCCTCGGCCCCCTGACATTCTTATAAATCGCACTGCATTGAGAGGCAGCCGTGTTCATTCCGTCTCATTTTTGTCTAGGCTGCTCCCATCGCAAAGCTGCATGGTTGCAACACGATGCACCAGCCAACACTTTGACTCTCCGAGTTTTTACCTTGAAATTGTTTTCATTTTCTAGCCTCAGTTTTCACATCTATGTCATAAATGGGTTTGCAGAAATTGTCTTTTAAAAGTCGGTCAACCACGAAGTAACTGGCGAGATACGCCCTCGAATGCTGCAGGTCATGTGAAGGTCATGCTTTGCTGGGTGCTGGCCGAGCCCTCTCCTCTCTTCACAGGGAGTTACTGGGTGCTAACTGAGCTCTCTCCTCTCCTCACTGAGAGTTGCTGGGTGCTGACCGAGCCCTCTCCTCTCCCCACAGGGAGTTGCTGGGTGCTGACCGAGCCCTCTCCTCTCCCCACAGGGAGTTGCTGGGTGCTGACCGAGCCCTCTCTTCTCCCTGCAGATCCTGGCCATCATCTCCATCATGTTCATCGTCCTCTCCACCATTGCCCTGTCTCTCAACACACTGCCCGAGCTACAGAGCCTGGACGAGTTTGGGCAGAGCACGGATAACCCACAGCTGGCGCACGTGGAAGCGGTATGCATTGCGTGGTTCACCATGGAGTACTTGCTGAGGTTCCTGTCCTCACCCAAGAAATGGAAGTTTTTTAAGGGCCCTCTCAATGCCATTGACTTATTGGCCATCCTGCCCTACTATGTCACCATCTTCCTCACGGAATCCAACAAGAGCGTGCTGCAGTTCCAGAATGTGCGCCGCGTGGTCCAGATCTTCCGCATCATGCGCATCCTTCGCATCCTGAAGCTGGCCCGCCACTCCACCGGCCTCCAGTCCCTGGGGTTCACACTGCGCAGGAGCTACAACGAGCTGGGCTTGCTCATCCTCTTTCTCGCCATGGGCATCATGATCTTCTCCAGCTTGGTCTTCTTTGCCGAGAAGGATGAGGATGACACCAAGTTCAAAAGCATCCCTGCCTCCTTCTGGTGGGCCACTATCACCATGACAACCGTTGGGTATGGAGACATCTACCCTAAGACTCTCCTAGGGAAAATCGTGGGCGGCCTCTGCTGCATCGCTGGGGTCCTGGTGATCGCCCTTCCCATTCCCATCATCGTCAATAACTTCTCGGAATTCTACAAGGAGCAGAAGCGGCAGGAGAAAGCCATCAAGCGGAGGGAGGCTCTGGAGAGAGCCAAGCGGAACGGCAGCATCGTGTCCATGAACATGAAGGATGCCTTCGCCCGGAGCATCGAGATGATGGACATCGTGGTGGAGAAAAACGGAGAGAGCATGGCTAAGAAGGACAAAGTGCAGGATAACCACCTGTCTCCCAACAAGTGGAAATGGACCAAGAGGGCACTATCTGAGACCAGCTCAAGCAAGTCCTTTGAGACCAAGGAGCAGGGGTCCCCTGAGAAGGCCAGATCGTCTTCTAGTCCTCAGCACCTGAATGTCCAGCAGTTGGAAGACATGTACAATAAGATGGCCAAGACGCAGTCCCAACCCATCCTCAATACCAAGGAGATGGCACCGCAGAGTATGCCGAAGGAGGAGCTGGAGATGGAAAGTATGCCCAGCCCCGTGGCCCCTCTGCCCACACGCACAGAAGGCGTCATCGACATGCGGAGCATGTCCAGCATCGACAGCTTCATCAGCTGCGCTACGGACTTCCCTGAAGCCACCAGATTCTCCCACAGTCCTCTGGCTTCCCTCCCCAGCAAGGCTGGGGGCAGCACAGCTCCAGAGGTAGGCTGGCGGGGGGCTCTGGGTGCCAGTGGTGGGAGACTCATCGAGGCCAACCCCACTCCTGAGGCCAGCCGCTCTGGCTTCTTCGTTGAGAGCCCCAGGAGTTCTATGAAGACCAACAACCCCATGAAGCTCCGGGCGCTCAAGGTCAACTTCATGGAGGGCGACCCCAGCCCGCTGCTGCCCTCTCTGGGGATGTACCACGACCCTCTTAGGAACAGGGGGGGTGCAGCAGCTGCGGTCGCAGGACTGGAGTGCGCCTCACTCTTAGACAAGCCTGTGTTGAGCCCAGAGTCCTCCATCTACACCACAGCAAGTGCCAGGACACCCCCTCTTTCCCCCGAGAAACACACAGCAATAGCATTCAACTTTGAGGCAGGCGTCCACCAGTACATAGACACAGACACAGACGATGAGGGGCAGCCGCTCTACAGCGTGGACTCCAGTCCTCCCAAGAGTATCCACGGGAGCACCAGCCCCAAGTTCAGCATCGGAACTAGAACAGAGAAGAATCATTTCGAAAGCTCCCCCTTGCCCACCTCCCCTAAGTTCCTAAGGCCGAACTGTGTCTACTCCTCAGAAGGGTTGACTGGGAAAGGCCTCGGAGCTCAAGAGAAGTGCAAGCTGGAGAACCACACCTCCCCCGACATACACATGCTGCCTGGGGGAGGAGCACACGGGAGCACTCGGGATCAGAGCATCTGAGCTGCCCACCACAGAAGGGAGTTTGCAGGAGAAATCAAGGAGGGGGGATGCTTGGCTTGCTGCCCCTGAGTTCTACATGACCTCGGAGACACAAGGCCCCCCGCAGAGCTCCAACAACAGGAGAGACCCTGAGAGCCAAGACAGGTCTATGAAACACATAACCAGCCGAGTCATGGGGACCATACCTCCTAACAGCATCTTCCCGAGATGAAATGAGCAGAGCTCACAGCCACTAAGACCTAGCCTAGACCACCCACTTCCTAGTTCCCTCTTGAGGCTCTCCCAACCTCTGAGTGCACCATCTCCATCTCTGGCGGCTTCAGCTGGATGAGGACATTGGAGCAAGGGGCTGCTAGCAAAAGAGTGGGTTGACCAAGTAGTACTGGTGTTGCCTAGCCACCTCCAAGAACACCTGCCCTCCGTGGCAAGACCATGCTGTTAGAAGGGTACAGGGGACACTTTGATCGTGAGGAATCCTCTGCTCTATCGGCCATGGTCCCAGTGCATAACCCGTAACCAGGCAAGCGGGCTTGAATGAGTCAGTATTCTGTGGCGCCCAGGGCTTTATTCTAGGACGCTGTCAGGGTGAGCTGACAAATCGGACTCCATTCTTTCTGCCCACCTGGCAACTGAGGAAGGGTTCAGACGGTTGGCATGCAGCCAGGGGGATAAACCAGACCACCGCTTTTAGGGCTGTCACAGGAATGAGCGTTCCAGACAGCACTAGCCTGAGCTCAAAAGATAGGTGAGCATCAAATATGCAAACAAGATAGATTATTCAAAGAGACTGTGTGGCTGAAGAACGGCATTAAAAAATAATAAATTTCATTTTCTACATGAAAACAAAAAAAGAAAAAGAAAAAAAAAACAGAGCCCTCCCTGAACTGCCCTGTGCAGGCTTCTGACGACTTTTCGTTGTGGCGGGGAACATAGGAACATACCTACTATGAGAGAAGTTCTTTTTTTGTTTTGTTTTGTTTTTGTTCTTTTGTTTGTTTCCTGTGGTATTCAAACTAAAAAAAAAATAATAATAAGTTAATAAAAGCACTTTATGTTTTTCTAATAGGTTCTACCAGGGACAGTGTCAAGATCTTGCACTTTAAAACAAGCACTATTTCCCATGGGCCGCATGGTGGCCCTTCACTTGGGGTGTTACTTGTGCCCCTTTCTGGCCACACTGGGTCTCGCTGTCACCGCATTAGAGTCCGGGGCTCCTCCATGGCCCCTCAGGATCACCCCTCATCCCTCATGGGTCAGAAGGGGTCCTCAGCCCTCGGGGCAGGGCTCTCTTAAAATCCCGTGTGAAAGAGACACACATGTCTCAGAAGGGCGCAGCAACTGGGGGTTGGGTATTGTACTGTTCTTTCTTGTCAACCAGCCATTGTGTGTTCTGTGTCCCTGTCTGTCCTGGAAGCCCGACGCTCCTTCCCGCAGTCATCTAGGCAGACGGCACAGCCAAAAGCAATAAGTACCCGTGTGTCTCCCTAGAGGTTCTGACGTACTACTTCCTGGTGTCAGTCTTCCTGTCCTAGCGTGTTGACCTGGCATTGTCCTGCCTACTTGTAACCCAGTGGCACGGTGTTGTGGCCCTTCCTCAGTGACACCAGTCCGCACGATGCTGTAGCTATGGCTTGTCTATCAGTAAAGATGGTGTTATCGGTCAGCCTGTCGGTAGTACACGGAGCAATGTGGTTTTCTTACTGTAGTGGTAGTGGATAATGTCCCAAAGGCTGTAGTGTCCTCCTTTCTGTCCTCAGAACAGTGACAGACATGTGTCTTCCTGATGGAGCAATGACATGGTATTGATCACCTGTCCTCAGTATAATTTATGGCTGGTCTGCCCAACAGGTCAATGGCATGATCCACCCATCAGCACACTTACATCCCAATGTTCTGCCTCCCGTTCCCATGGCTGAGGTCAGGCCACCTGTCACAGGTAGAACGCTCAAGGGTTATTACATCAACCTTAAACAAAGTGTCTTCTACAGTTTGTGACAGCTCTCAGCATCTCCGGGGACCAGGGTGCTCTCCCTCCGGAGGGTGCATTTGCTGTGGTTGGAGAAGACTGAGACATCAGCTGTCTCGCAGGCCTCAGAGCTTTCTCAAAACAGAAGCGAAGGGGCAGACAGTGAAGGTCACCCTGTCCAGCAGTGCCCTGGAGACAGGCTCTGGAGTCTCCCTGCTGAGCTCGGCCTGGTGCTGGGGGCCTGTTGCTGTGACCACGGGTCGGGTCCGTTCTGCTCACCATTGCTCATGTCTCTTCTTTGTTTTTCCATCACCCTAGATGTCACCCAGCAGCACAAATGTGAAAATTCAGGGAAAACAAAACAAATGCTTTTTGATAAAAAGTAAATAGTTGTGATTTCCGATTCAGATATTTTTAGAGCTATCTGTAAAAACTCCTACTGATGATAGAGTCTATTTTACATATCAGGAAGTAAACATGTCTTAACATAGCCATATATAGCCAGAAGGAAGTTACCGCCCCCTTCTTCAAATCAAGGCATTTCATTGGTTGGTTAAGCCGAAGGCAGGTGTACAGAAGAGAAATGACTTCTTTCTTTTTAAGAAACACTTGGTGCGACTTCTCCTTGTAACCAAAGGCCCCTTCTGCCTTGTGTCGTGCAGGACCTGGCTGTCCCTTCCTCCTGCGTTTTGTCTGACCTTAAAGTAGCATTTTACAGAGTCAGTGAAGGCCGAATTCAGAGTACCCCTTGCCAGCTGAATAAACAGAGTCCGACCGAGTTCCTATAGAAATTCATCAACTCAGAGTAAACTATGCGTAAATGTTTTCTGCTTTGTTTTGGATTTTGCTGGTTTGTTTTGTTGTTGTTGTTGTTGTTTCTGTTCTTCCCCACTCACGTGTGTGTGCCGTGGGAATACAGCTTTTCCTCCACATGTGACTCAAGTTAGTACTGTAAATTTTCCTACCAGCCCTCCGCCTGCTAAAAAGGAACCGAGTTTCATTCCACACACACCCAACATGGGTACCTGCGTTTACATGCACTGGGGAAGCTGGAGAAGGGTCACCAAGATGACGCTGACTCTGACAGATGGTTCTCAGTCATGAAAAGGGAAGCCAAGGTGTGGAGGCAGAAGCCCCTGAACTTGGTGGTCCATTTCCACCTGTCCTAAGCCAACTGGAGCAAAAGGAAGTGAGGTGCCTGAATAACACCGAGGGCTGGAGGCGGAGATTCACTTATGGTCCAGTTGTGAAGCCAACAGGACTGTCAAGAACCCAGCGGAACTCGAGTTCTGGGATCCACCCCATCATCAGAAAGGGCATCGGGCATCTGTGCGCACCCAGAGGGGAGGACAGATCAGTGCTCTCACCCTCCCATCATTGATGGCCCCAAAACAACAGGTCTCGGGCCGCGGATTTCTCTCTGGGATTCCATCTTAAGCACATTGAGAGGAGAAAGAGAGAAATGAGAGAATGGTGGTCATCGAGGAGAGAGGAAATGGAAGCCATCCTTGAGCCACTCTGCTCACTCCCAACAGCTGAGCCTCGCCTTCTGGTCCACATCCTCTGTATTCCATAGCTGCAGCCTCATCTCGGTCCCTTCTCCTGAGAAGATCCACGTTTTTAAGAAGGAAGAAAAAAAACACACAAGACACAACAGCATCCTCGTCTATACAACTGTAATGTACTGTCAACTTTTGTAATTATTATGCGTTTGTCTGACTCTGGTCATGGCTGGAATGTATCTAGTCCATGAGCAAGGGCATATTTAAAATTCATCCCAGACAAGGGTCCCTAAAGCCAGGTTCCTCTATATAGCTAGATAGACAGATATAGATACAGAAATATCTCTTCCTTATTTCTCTGCCAACTTTTCTCAAGGAAAGAAACCACAGGTTGCGCTGAATCAAAGATTGCACAGGCAAGCTTCTAGAGCATGCTTCTTCGGCGATGTGCTTTGTGCGAGTGTAGCTGAGAAGTTGGCAGAAGAATGAGGGGGACTCCCAGGTCGCCAGAAGGACATTGGAACACTCCAGCCCCAGGCATTTCCTAACCTATTACTGTTTCTATGACAACACTCAAATGCTTTCATGTCACCAGGCCAGGGCCACCCAAACTAGCCCCGGGCACACCTGGAAATAAGAGTTACCTCTGCATTTTCTGTTGCCATTGTTTCTGGCTCTAGAAGCATCTATATCCTAGGACGTCCACACATCTCAGAGTAGTCTATTTTTTTGTTCAGATAAAATATATATATAATATGTATTTTTAGTATATTTATAATAGGACAATTTAGTCTAATTTCTTTTGTAAAAGTAATATTTGGGGGTTTTATCGTTACTCATTTGCATAGCTGGTCTTTTCTGCTCCCCATTATTCCTTCCCACTGTCCCTTGGGCTGTTTTTTTCTTTTTTTCTGTTGGATTCTGGTTGTCTGGAGATGAGGAAAGACTGGGGTTTGACATCCTAGAAGACTGAGTGCCTGGCCCCGGGGGGTGGGGAGGATCAGTGTTTTTCCTCATCAGATCTGTGTCCCCCTGAGTTCCTGGCCCCCCAGTGGGGGGGCATTGTATCTTTCTTCATTAGGTCTGTGTCCCCCTGGCTGTCACTCTTAAGAATCCAGGTGTTCAGGAGCAAGCCAGGTGAAGCAGAGGTGTAGTTGGGACCTGCATTGCCAGGAGCTCAGGCCTTACCCTCCCAGGATCTTAAAGGACCGAGCTTTCTGGTTCCCCAAAATACTGGAACCAAGACCCTCCTGCAAGCAAACTTGCTTCCAAGCAATCACTGAGCTCTGGAACACTCCTGAGTCCTCTTGGCCAGGCCGCCCCCATCTCCACCATCCTGCTTCCCAGGGCCACCAGCTGGACCCAGGGACCAGAGCTGTGCGGACTCTGGCAAACCTCAGATGAATGTGCTGCATCCCCCATCCATTTCTCAAAGTCTCACCAAAAGCCAGTGACCAGACAGCCTTCTAGCCAAAAACTGAGGCCTGACAGCCCAAAGCCGCGATCGTCCTGCCCAGTCCTTCCCAGCAGCGCCAAGTGTGAAATTTGGGGCAAGGGCCTCAGTATTTTTCCAGCTTCCGCTTTTCCAAACCTCTAGTCCTTGGTCAGTTCTGAACATTCATATGTGAGGCGATTTTGAGCCTGGGGGCAGGTGATGGGCAGACACCACGTGGAATCAAGGGGTTCTTCCATCAGTCACCTACTTGGGACAGCAAAATAAGCCAACCAGACTGCCTCCCATGCTCAATAGGTCACCTGCCTGCCTCCGCTTCACCAGCATCAGAGATTTGGGTCAAGCCAGGACCTTCTCCATCTCTAACAGTGATGATGTCCCCAACTGAAAGAACCCCAAGAGGATGCTAACCCAAACACAATTCATTATCCTGGTGGTTGGATTTTCTTTTCTTCCCTTTGGTTTTGTTCTGTTTTGTGGTGTTTGGAATCTAACTAGGGCCTTGGCTGTGTCGGACAAGCGCCTGACCCCTGAGCTATATCCAGTTCCTGAATGTATTATTTTGGAATGTGATTCTAATCAGTTTCCCCAACCCTAAAATTCCTGGTAGTCTGGTTTGTTCCAGAGCCAAATAAAACAGACAAGATTTTGTGTTTGTGTGTGTGTGTGAGTGTGTGTGTGTGTGTGTGTGTGTGTGTAACTTTTACATAAGAACAAAATTAAAAAGTACTGTCCTGTTATTTCCCAGGTTTCCTACCCGGATAAGTAAACACTGGCTGTCTTCCCAAGAAAGAGGGGGTATGCTCTGATCCTCTTTCCTTGCCGTAGAATTTCTCTAGAAATTTCCAAACGGCAATTTGAATGGAATTTGGAAGGGGCTGTTAGTCAAGTGAGCTCTCCTCTCCACGTCTAGCCCTACCTCTGTCCCCCTCAGCCAAGGTCTAAGAAGAAATCTAAAAGCTAGCAGGAGAACATGGGCAGGGGGTTGGCCCAAGAGAGTAGCTATCTAACGTGAGTTGGTCAATTTCCACTCAAAGCCAGTGAGCCCTTTCTCATAAGTCAGCTGATCTGCTTACAGAATGCAATGCATGCTGGGTAAGGAGCTCCTGACTACCCACTGTATTGCAGGTGTTCACAGGGAGTCTAGATAATACACAAATGGGTCCTGGCATAATCGCAAAACTGGACTGGAAATTCAAAGCAATTCTTTCTTGGTGTGTGTGTGTGTGTGTGTGCGCGCGCGCTCTGCTGTCCATGGCCTTATGTGCACATGTCGGTATCTGCATAGGTGTCTTGAACATTCTGGGCCCAGGTTCAGGCCACATAGACAAGGTCTTGGAGCACAGCTAGTGGGACCTAAGGTTATAGGATCGGGGCCATGCCAGGAGGCACCAAAACAAGAAGGTTGCGGCAGGGGACTCAACTCACAAGCCTGACCCTGTCAGTCATTCACCTGGCCCTTTCCCTAGCCAGCAAAGGGTCAATCCACAAAGTCCTACCTGTGGTTGGTCACCGCATGGTGCTTCAGCCCCCTCCCCTAGATCCTGTGCCCACCAAAAAGACACAGTGATCACCCCACAAGCCAGCCACCCACTGCCCAGGCAATCTCAAAAGACGCCATTCCAAAAAGGGCTTTTTGTTTCCCTGTTAAATAAAATATTGAACCTAGTCAAGATTTTCAAAGATCTCTACCCGCAAAACAAATTCAGAAAAATAAAAAGACTGAGGTAGCTGTAATTTCTGCTTTCAACAAAGCTCCAGCTGCTTCCAAGAAGAGAGGCTGCTCCCCACATCCATCCCCAAAGGACCTGCCTCCTGCCATTCACCTTCACTCAACACAGAGCTGGTGAGCTCTTCCTCGCTGGGCATGATGGGTATGGAGGAGGTGGCATATGAACTTCCTAGTGAATCCAAGCCCAGGTGGTCTCAGTGGTTTTGAAAGGCAAGGTAGACCAGTAGGCCAAGGTTGGCTGAATCACTTTCTTCTAAAATTGAATTAAACAGAAACCAGTTTCCAAAATCCCAGCCCACAGAGGTGTTGCCCAAGACACTCAGCCGCAGTTACAGTGCAATTGTGGGGAAAGTAAGGAATCCCCAATTCTGTCCCACTTAGATGTGCTCCAAGCCACACACACAGAGCTCACGTACTTCCTGCCTCCCTACGCAAAGCTCTGGGTAGACAGGGTTGCACATAAGGGACCCTAAGGGTCTAGCTTAACTGTGCAGCTCCCAGCCTCTGGGCTTCCCCGGGGTTTGAGACTTCTGAGACCAGCGGCATCCACGAGCCAGATTTAACTGTAGGGAGTACAGGGGAGCTATCCTCTTTCTCTCTAGGTCTGTTCGGTTTGGGTCTAAGCTAAAGGTCAGGGAGCCCCCCTTTTCTGCACCAGAAGCTTGTGGCACACAATGATCATCCGGCTTGTGTTTTGGGGAACATGGATGTGGGAGTGAGAAGTGGATGGGGGCGTAGTAAAAAGGAGCCTCATCTGGCTCGGGGATTGCTAACTGGGAAGAAAAGAGTGGGACTTCCTTTCTCTCTGCACTGCCCCTGCTGATCCCAAGTCTTCTATGACTGTGTCTGGAGTCACAGTAACGCACACATTTGAGGTTGGTAACCTTGAACTGATGGGGGCCATGGTCTGCTCAGAGCCTCTTGCCCTGAGACTGGCCAGCACCTGCTGCCATCCTGCTTGTTCTACTTCAGTTCACAGGGAGGCCCCACAGAGACCACGGTAGATATCCAGTAATTCAAGCCAAGGGTCCAAGGTAGGAGGCGGTCTGGGACTTAGCAAGGGCAGGAAGATGGGAGCCAGTGTCTGTAACCAGATCTCATTTTCTGAGTTGTAAGAACCAATGGTCTCTCCTTTTAACTGAGCCCCAAAGGCTCGCTTACATTGACAAGCATGCCAATCCCATCAGCTCAGACCCTCTGCCCCTCCCAGGACCCTATAGCGTAAGGCTGGGGTTCTTCTGCCAGCAAAGCCATTCTGATTGCCCCACCCTCCAAGGGGGCCAAGCCAATCATATTAGCCATAATCCACCAGGGTCCTCAGCCACTTTTCTTCCGGTTGTGTTCATGGGTCCTGTTGAACCTTCACCAGTGGAAGGCTCTAGTCCTTCCTGTACATGTGACAATGTACATTGGTGTGCATGTGCCCATACATGCACATGAGTGTGCACACAAGAAAACCAACCAAACCCCAGTGTTGTCTTCTGCATGTGGTGAGATGGACTTGTGACCCTTGTGTGACCTCCGGCTGCTGTCCTGTCTTGTAAAAAAAACGTTCACATGTTTAAGAATTTCCAAGCAAATGGTCCCTTAATGAAGTCTGCAGCGTTCAATAAAAGATCCGGAGAAAACAAGCCTGGTGGTGTTTGGCTTATTCGTGGGAGAGGGAGGAGGTTTGGGTGTAAGAAAGACTGAGGGTCTGAGGACCTGGAAGATCCGTGCTGGGAGCTTCACTTTCCCTGGAAGAAAGAGCACGAAAATGCAACTGGTTTATCATCCCCAGTACACAAGCTCTTGGACTGTACCCGTGAATCAAAACCCAGAGCCACGTGGCTGTCATGTCTGCTCTACCTAGGCACCTTTTTCCCATAAAAATGCTTTCCCGTCGATCAGGCAAGGTGGCGCCTGTCACCCAGCACTCCTGGGAGTGGAAGCCGGAGTTTCAGAGCTCCGGGCAACTGCGCTCCAGGAGACAGACCCAAAACAAAACAAAAGCCAAAGATGGTAGCATGGTAGCGGCGTTAACCCCCAGGGCCAAGAGGGTGGCAGATGTGCAAAGCCATCTGGATTCCAGGAATAAGGGAAACGGTGGGCGTGGCCAGCTGGAGGACACAGCCACCACGCTGTCCAGCTGGTTCTTATCTCCTAGGGACATAGGATAGCCCTGCCACATCTTACAAGAACCAGAAATAGGGAGCCGGCAAAACGGCTCAGCGAGTAAAAGTACTTGCTGCCAAGCCTGGTGGCCGGAATTTGACCACTAGGCCCACATGGTGGAAGGAGAGTTGTCTTCTGACTTCTCTCCACAGGCATGCTGTAGCATGACCCCCCTCTCTCTCACATACATACAAATAGATAAGTAAAATAATAATGATGAAAAGGAATCAGAAAGCTGTATATTTTACAAGAGATGTCAGCTTTTAAGTGTTGATGAATTCTAGTTCCTTTACATGTGCTGGCCAGTAGAGGTACGTGTGCAGGCCAGCCACACCACTGGCTGGCCACAGCCACAAGCTAACCACAGGCTGACCACAGCCATAGCCACAGAGAGCCACAGGCTGACTACAGCCACAAACTAACCACAGGCTGACCACAGCCACAGACAGCCACAGACTGACCACAGTCTTTGTCCAGACACAGCTTATAGGTTGAACAGAACTATGGACCAGAAACAGCCACTGGTATTGGGCTCTCTGCCGTGAGTACCAAGATGGAGACTATCCATTTGTTTCCAGCCGCAATGAACCAGATTACCCCAGTGCCTAGCAACTTGGAGCACCTGCTTTCCTGTGGGTTTTATGGTCCCAAAAGTCAGGAGCAGCTGTACGGGGTGACGAAGGTCACAGTGCCTCCACTGCAGACATCTTCTCCCCTGGGACTGGAAGCCGAGCTCAGAAGCTCTCCTAGCTGGCGACGTGGTTCCATCCGTAGAGTGCTGGCCTCGCATGCGGATTCTATCCCCATCATTCCACAGACTAGGTATGATGGCACACACTGCATCCCAGCATCCTGGGATGCCAAGAGCACCCTCCCGCAGTTACATCTCCAGCTGAGGATTTGGTGGGGGTGAGGTGAAGAATGAGAGGGAAGGCAAAATTACCTCCAGTTGAGGCCCACTAGAAAAGGATCAAACATCAAAGTCAAAATCTCCCTCCTGCCTCAGGCCTCCATTTCCAATGCAATCCTTGTCTACAGCTCTAGCTCTAGTTTCTCGTGGAAAGGGTCATGACACATACACGTGCTTGCGCACACACAAACATATGGGGGTGGCCAGCCCTCTCTGCCCCTCACATTCTCACTGGGTGCATCGTGGGCCTCATCCCATAAGAGACTCACGAGTCCTCCCACGAGGCTGTGTAATGGCTGGTCTCCTACAGCCAGGCATTGTAGTTGCCCTGACTTCCTCTGTAACAAGCCATGCTGAAGTAAATGGCTGGTGGGCGCTTCCTCTGGGCTCAGCTTTCCACAGAGCTGGGATCTGCCTTCCACTCCAACACCACCTCCCCAGCCACACTGCTCGTGGCTTGATGATTTCAGCGCCCCCAGCCAGGCTCCTCAGTTCTGCCCTGCATCTCTTCCAGGCTCTCCTTAGCACAGTGGCCAGAGGGTTTCCTGTCAGGCTGTCAATCTGGGCATGTCACCGTGTCCTCGGAAAGCTCCCAAGGCCCCCAATCACATGTGGCACAAAGCCCAAGTCCTTGGTAAGTCCTGCCAGGCCCTCATCTCCTGCCCCTGCATTCACCGAGAGCTTCCTGTTCTGTCATCTCCTTCCTGCTTCTCAGACATGCCCACCTCACTCACCAAATGCTGCCACCCTGTTCCCCCCCAGAGGGCACTTCTGCCCGCTGTATCTCCTGTCTTCTCCCTCCTTCACTGCCAAACACACTAGCCCTCTGTCAGTTTTCTGGTCCACTAAGTACATGTCTACCTCAGGGCCTTTGCTCTGGCTGTCCCTTCTGCATGGGAGAATGTTT